GTGTGTGTGTGTGTGTGTGTCATTCACTTCAAACTGTGAGCATTTGCTCTGGCACACTCTGTTTGGCTTTAATTTGCACAGGCCTTTATCAGTAATGCAATAAAATCCAGTTTATTTAATTAGAGTAATAATTTATTTATATTTAATTAATTTATATTTCATACAACATAGTTTACTGACAAACACTAATACAGTAACATACAGTGGCAAACAAATTATACATGAGTAAAATGCATAGAACTTACAAAAATACAATTTATGAGCACTCATGAAGACTTTTATTAATCTGACAGACAGTCATGAAGACAGTAAAGAATGAATGCAGCAGACATCATTACATACCATAAATAACAAGCAAGTTAAACAAAAACCAAGACAGTATTTATTCACATACATATGTTCCTGTGAGTCAGGAGTTCATATCGATGATGATTATTAGTGCATATGTCTCTAGTGCAAATATCTACCTCACAGCATTTAACATATTGCACTTTAACTGAATTTATTGCACATTTTAAAATATATATTTAAAATCCCTATGTTTATGATGTTTGAGCACACAAAATACATATCCACTCTAATAAACACAGTATTTCTACACACAGTCTGTGTTTTCACAGATTATTCACATTCATATGCAGTTAATTGAAGATTAAGTATAAGTTTTTTAAATGCAACATTTCTTGTAGCATGTAAAGTATACTGTACATTTACATGTACAGTATGTGAGTGTTTCATTAGCCATGCTGATATTAGCAATATTACTTGTCTTAAAGTGTGCTTTTACAGACTACTCACTAACAAGTATGTAAGCTTATACATACATGCATAACTATTTTAAAAGTATAGGTATCTAAATATGTTACCCTGCTAATTGTATTATTTATCCATTTATGTGTGTGACTGTATATGTATATATTGTACATGCCAGTATATAGTATATGTATGTAATGGACACACACACTCCTCTGAAGAGTGAACACACTCAGAGAGGTTTCTATTCTAAAAGCAGAGCAACAGTTTATAGTTCTGATTATTGTTGCTATTTATTTTGGTGTGTTTGGCGTGTTCCTGTGATCTGTGTGTTTAGTGCACAGGATCCTCATGTCCTGCAGTCCCTCGTCCAGCGCTTTCACAAACAGCCCTGAACAAGTCTCCTTACTCTCTCTGAAGCTGGACACACAGAACAGCACGTGAGCGGGCCGAGGGTTATAACACACGCCGTAACCGTCAGGAACCACCGGACCATAGCAGCAGAACATCTCCTCTGCGGTGGGAACCTGCATCACACACACTGTACATCATCTCACCATCATGAACAGACTGATCAAACCATTTAAACCAATCCCTGCTGCCACTAGTCAACTATAATTACACTTGCAGAAGTGACTTATACTAAAATAATGGGGAATAAAACAATGTTGGGCTAGGGTTAGTTAAATACAATCTGGAAGGCTTGATTCTGGTTGGTCAGTGTCTGCATTCTCACGTCATTTATTTTCTGTTCATATGGGACTGTTAGAGGTCAGACAGTTTCATCTACGGTTAATTATAAAGCTGTGTTGTGTTTATGTAGTATGCTGCTCTTACCTGACTGGTTGACAGCATGAAGTGGTTACTGATGTGGTACGTTTCATCAGAGAATATGTCTGGCGTCTCCATTTTCATCTCCTTGGCAATGTCACGCAGTCCTAGTAAGTGATTGTCCGTCCCCATCCCCGTGACGGCCTGCAGACGGTCAAACAGATCGTCAGCACACACATAAAAACATCAGCACGACGTCAGCCGTCTGTATTCTCTCACCAGAGCTGTGACTTTACTCTGAGCATCTACAGCCGCTCGCAGCTTCTCCATCTTCTCTGTGTCCTGGGATGAAGAGCTGAGATTAACACTACATATTCTGTTTATGGCAGAAAATAAAGGAGAGACGGAAAAACGTGAAACCTGAGTGGATGTTCCTCCGTCTGTCATGGCCTTCACGAACGCCAGCGCCTCAGGAGTGCTGGAGCGGATGTTGTCCACGCGTCCCTGCCGGAAGCGGCGGAGAGAAGCGCTCTCGTAGGTGGACACGGGTCTTCTGTGACATCTGTGGAAAACAGCAAGGAGA